TACAGGTGGAATAACATTCACGTGGGATGACACAAATACAGGAGGAATAACATACAGGTGGGATGACACTAATACAGGTGGGATGACACTAATACAGGTGGAATAACATACAGGTGGGATGACACTAATACAGGTGGAATAACATACAGGTGGGATGACACAAATACAGGAGGAATAACATACAGGTGGGATGACACTAATACAGGTGGAATAACATACAGGTGGGATGACACTAATACAGGAGGAATAACATACAGGTAGAATGACACTAATACAAGAGGAATAACATACAGGTGGGATGACACTAATACAGGAGGAATAACATACAGGTGGGATGACACTAATACAGGAGGAATAACATTCAGGTTGAATGACACTCATACAGGTGGAATAACATACAGGTGGGATGGCACTAATACAGGTGGAATAACATACAGGTGGGATGACACTAATACAGGTGGGATGACACTAATACAGGTGGAATAACATACAGGTGGGATGACACTAATACAGGTGGAATAACATACAGGTGGGATGACACTAATACAGGTGGGATGACACAAATACAGGAGGAATAACATACAGGTGGGATGACACTAATACAGGTGGAATAACATACAGGTGGGATGACACTAATACAGGTGGAATAACATTGATACTGACTGAGTTACAATCATATTAGTTTAATGACTTTTTTTGTTAAAACGGAGTTGAATTAGGATTGTGATAAGCCTTGCTGTGTTTGAGGATTTGCAAACGTATTTCGGTGTTTATACCGTCGCATATTTCATGCTCTGCTGACGCGTCGCCGATATAACTAAATGTGCGACAGTTTAACCCCCGATATACGTTTGCAAATCCTCAAACACAGTAGGACCCGTGAAGGTCCGGGTTAGAATGAATCTTCAGTAATCCATGCTTGTCGTAAGAGGCGACAAACGGGATCGGGTGGTCAGGCTCGCTGGCTTGGTTGACACATGTCCTCGGTTCCCAATTGCGCAGATCGATGGTCATGCTGTTGATCACTGGATTGTCTGGTCCAGACTCTATTATTTTCGGAACCGCCGCCATATAGCTGGAATATTGCTGAGTGAGGTGTAAAGCTAAATTCACTTACTGACAGACATATCATCGACAGCCCATCCTGCTCTTGTGGTCATAAGATCGAAAATGCTGTACATTATTTCTTCATATGCAATAAATACATGGAATTATGACAAAAATCATTCTTCTATTTGAAGGGATTTAGTATCAACACATTTAGTATAACAGGGGCGTGGTTGGCGAGCTGGCTAAGGCTCGTGATCCAGCAAGCTTGAGGTGTCGGGATCGAGCCCACCTGTGCAGATTCTTTCAGTGTTGTCACGGCCCCAGTGTACAGTACACGGTTACAGGCCGGGCGAGACACATTTCCGAAACAGATAGCCTAAATTGATGTGGCTTTCCCGGCAATAGTTACGGTTGCGTGAACATGGAATGTGGCTCTCCCGGCTATGCTGTCAAAACATGCTTAGTGATTCAAACGCGTTACCGTATTTAACAAAACAAGACATGTTTCCTCATAATTTTATTCAGATCACAACAGGTTTTGTTTCTATAATTAGCACAATATAATATACTAATAGGTATATTACATATAATAATAATATCACAAAAAATTAAAAAATCTTAATCTGCAAAACATAATAATAATGATAATGGTTTAGTTTGTTGCCATGTGTACAAACAGATAAAATGACGTAAGATCACAAAACATTCTTTTTTACACCCCCTACTGCAGATGAAGGAGGTCGCCCACATGATCCGTATACTCCATGTCACTCAGGTGTTGGCTCAGAAGCTTGGTCTCCAGTGATGCAATATACGAGCGGCAATGGTTTTGTATTTCTTTTTTCCTGAAGGTGCTGTCCACTGGTCAGATAGTCTCATGACAGCAACCTCTGTGAGAGACTGCTCACGCTGAAGCTTTACTATCTCGTAAATGTTAGGATGGCACTTCTGGACAAGTCTCTTTACCTTATTGTGCCACCCTTTTAGGTTATTGTTAGATTAATCTTAATCTAGGGACAGTATTTTTCCGGTATTGCGATGTCATTGAACGTGTTCATTTTAAATTCCTTAAATTAGCTACCGGTCTTAGATAAAACACCCCGAACTTGGAAGACAACCTATTCAGCTCCAAATCTCTAAACGATTAATTACTTATTGGTGCAAATTGAAATTTTCGCATCCAAACAACAAAATAGCAGCTTTCATTCTAGATTTAGAATCATAAATAGGGATAGTCTTTTACCGGTATTGCTAAACGGGTACCTGCTAAACACCACGCTTGTGAGTAAGAAAGATTATTCGTTTCTTGTGAAAACAATATTATACATGGGGACTCTCTTTTACCGGTTACGGTAATCCATTAATTAATTAATCTATTGGAAATGTGGCTTTACCGGCTACAGCCATGTAATTGAAATGTGGCCTTCCCGGCAAAAGTCATTTTTGAAATGTGGCTTTTCCGGCCTGTCACCCAGTACACAACCCTGTGCACCTACAAGAAACCACGAATGCGTTGGTATATGACCAGATGGTGGCCACATGAATACGTACAAACACCTAGTTGCGGGTACAGCAACGTGCAGTAAATTGAACAAAGTACTGTGACCCAGTCCACCCAGCTGTGAATGGGTACCTCGTAAAGATGAGAAGCCGCAATAACTCGGTGCGCCTATAGTAGCTGCAAGAGTTGTAAGTTCCTCGGTGAGTTGAGATTGATAATACGATGTACCGTTGAGATTGCAGTGGATACACTTGTTTTGTACCAGATACCTACAGCAGTGGATACACTTGTTTTGTACCAGATACCTACTGCAGTGGATACACTTGTTTTGTACCAGATACCTACTGCAGTGGATACCTTTGTTTTGTACCAAATACCTGTGCAAAAGAAAATTCCCATATTTGAATGCGAAGCAATAAAACACAACACAAGTAAAGAAACGTCATCATTCCTCTAGCTCCCGCCCCCCTAACCCCCTGTTGTAACAAGCCACTATAGACCCCTGAAGATCCGGGGTAGAATAGGTCTTCAGCAACCCATGCTTGCCACAAAAGGCGACTATGATTGTCGTAAGAGGCGACTAACGGGATCGCGTGGTCAGGCTCGTTGACTTGGTTGACACATGTCATCGGTACCCAATTGCGCAGATCGAAGCTCATGCTGTTGATCACTGGATTGTCTGGTCCAGACTTGACTATTTACAGACCGCCGCCATTTAGCTGGAATATTGCCGAGTGCGGCGTAAAACTCAACTCACTCACAAGCCACTAATTTGTGCCTCTAGCCCCTCGCCTGGCTGTTCTGTTAGCTGTACTCACTCCCCCGTAACTGGATTAACTGCTACTATCAATTAACTCGTTAGGTTGGGTGTTGGTTTTGAATAGGTGACTCCCGGTACTTAGGGAGATAATTGGCACAATATTAATGTGTGAAGCCCATTTCTGGTGTCCCTGCCGTGATATTGCTGGAATATTGCTGAAAGCGGCATAAAACTAAATTCATTCACTCTCACTGAAAGGTTCATCATCGGGAGAAGATGGGATTCAAACAACAAATTAAAAAATTATTCTGTCATTGTATATCATTTCTTCATTGTTTTTTAATCAATATTGTCAAATAAATTTAAATATAACTACATCAGTTTTCACTACAAAAGGACTTTTTTACCGAGAAGTTATACTAATACTTTTTACCAAGGACTTTTTCCTACAACCTTCCAGCCCTGCAACTTAAACGAATTAAACAAAAGTAAGAGAATGATACTTTATTATCTATACCAAGTCACCTACCCACAACCATCACCTGACCTAACGAGTTAATTCATAGTACTTAGCAGTTAATCCCGTTACAGGGGAGTGAATACAGCTAACACAACAGCCAGGTGAGGGACTAGCGGTACAAATTAGTGGCTTGTAACAACAGGGGGCAAGAGGTGTGGAGTCAAGAACACACAACACAAGTGAAACATATTTATGTCATATTTTTTTAATGCAACAAAAAAATCAATGTCAAGAATGATTGTGATTATTATCCCTTGAGGAAAATAAAAGTTAACAGGACTTCGTAGACTGTGTAAATGAACATGTCCTTCGAACCCATTTCATCATTGCTGTTCCAAACACATACAGAACGAGAATATTGGAAAAAAAAAAATATTGAGGGTAAGTAATTAAACTTGACATTCGCTTACAAATATGTACGGAATGCCTGAATACATTCCGGAGATGAGTTCGGTCGATCCTACTGTAGGACCACATGGCCGAATGTCTTGACTGGGAGTAATATATAAATTAATATAAGCATTTAAGCCGAGCTACAGATAACTTTTTTGGCCATTGAGTTATGTACTCGCTTGTGCTCATCCCAATTGGGTATCCTAATTTACCTTTGAGTAACTAAATAAATTGTACTCATCTCACTCAAACTCAATTGGGTATTTTACTATTTCCATTAACTTTAAAAATACAATAGCGTTTAAATGTTAGTGTTTGTTATTTATATTTGATCTGTAATATGAGAAACGATAAGAAAGACTACAAGTTGCCTAGTTCATGTTCTGAAATAGAATGTCTCAATATACCCCAGTTATTTTATTTATCCACCGGTACGCAAGCTAAGATTTGACATTTTTGTGTGTATGCATGTAAGATGACATTTATTGAGTATTTACAAAAAATCAAGCGTACTTATTTACGCAAGAGTCTTAATAGGAATTGATTTTTCACATACATATTTTCCAAATTTACGCAGATACGCAGCTTATCTGTACCTCTGATTTAAGACATTCGAGTACCAAATATAATGCGATATGCGAGACAGGGCCCAGTTTAATGTGACGCTTGTTCACCGGCGGTACAAGGGCTTGTAACCGGTTTACAAGCAATCTACCAATCACAGCGCGTGTTGCAAACCGGGGATGGAAATTATCCAGTCGTGTATATTGTACCACAACACGACGTCGTGCATATAGACGATTCGGTAACATTCTGTTCGGCCCATTCGGAATTCACTATGGAATATACTGATAGCAACGACAGCAATAAAGGAACGGATTCTTTTGAAGATTTAATGACGTTTGTAGACGAAGATGGACACGTTGACAGTAGTGCAGTAACCCAAGTGTACATAGAGAGACTAGGATCTCAATCTAAAGATGACCAAAATCAAGTGGCCGATTCAGGGTCAGATTCCATCCCTCCATGTATGGGGAACTGTCAAAATGAAAATTCTCTTTCAACCATCGAACATGAAGGGTATGGGTAATTTTACTTGCCACCTGTCTTTTCATGTGAATGTTTATGAGAATCCGTTGTGTTATTCTTACTATTCACAAACTGAAAGTGGAGTCTCGTTGAAGGCTGACTTCCTTGTTTGAGGTCTTGACCTGTAAGCTGAAATGGGCCAGTATCTATGGGTGCTTGTCAAGAAAAGGAGATTTTTTAACTCGGACATTGGATTTCAGTATCCCCAACTGATGAATAAACTGCATAATACACAATGATGCAAATGATAAGCTGACATAAACAAACAAATCATTCATTTATCAGTTCTGTGTGAGGTTATATACTACCCATCAAAAGTTTAGACTCACTAGTGTAAATGTAGCCACTTACTTGTCCACTGTTCTAAACTAGCTTTTTGCAAAATATTCCATACTGTTTAAAGGTACTGTATAGTTATGAACTGGTGTATTGTAAAACATATTCGTAACATTGAAAAGATTATTGTCATGAGTTCAGTAAATGATTAAAATCTGTGAAAATTGGCGAATTCTTAACAAAACTTTACACCAAAACGAATCTGTTCACATGCACGACATTTGCTCATGCCTTTCGCAATTTGAAGCATCATCCTTGTGCAATTCATCTGCATAAGGTTTTCAGTTGGTTCCCCCAAGTTGGTGGAGAAATTCATCTTCGATGTAACCACATACATATACATAACATATAGTGAGTGCTTTAAGTGAGTCTAAACTTTTGATGGGTAGTATACATTTAACATCTCCACTCCTCAAACAAAACGACCAAAAAGCTGAAACTTTGCTTGAATTTTGCCCAAAAGGGTGTCTATAAATGATGCTTTAACTTCAAAGTTCAATAAAGCCATATATAGTCAAACTAAAAACAGTCCATCTCTTATCATGTCACAGTGGCATGTAAACAGTCATTAGAAATGTTGAGACATTCCTCTAATTAGTGCTACACATATTTGTTTACTCCCTAAAGGTAATATAGCCTTGTGAATTCCACAGAAGGATGATTGTTATTCCGATATTAATCATGCTAATATTAATATAACTCTATTTAAAGGTTATATATAGTAGTCTGTTCCTCTGTCATCAACTCAAGTTTCAGCACTGAGATAACCACAAGTGAGGGAGTGAGTTTAGTTTTCATCTATTTTAGCAGTATTCCAGCAATATCACGCCGGGCAACACCAGAAATGGGCTTCACACATTGTACGCAAGATAACAAGTCAGGGCATCATATACCAACAGACTATAAACTTGAAAGCAATATGGGATTTTGAAATTTATGCAGTGGGTGTTTTACAATCCTTTTACCTTGTCTTTGTGGATAAAATCATTAGTTTTTTCTGAAGATATTTTACCAAAACATTAACCATACACAGTGATGATGAATAAACAACATGACCAATTATTATTATTATCAGGGAGGCAGTGATGCATCAGTCTTTGGGTATACCCAACCTGTTAATAACAGATATGTTTAGATTGCAGTGCTCTTCTTTCATAATCTTGATTAGCAGTTTGTAATACACAAATGTTCTGTCTTGTTTTCTGTAGGTATATACATAATACAATATCTGACGACCAGATATTGATGACCTTAAACCCCGGAAATGAGAGGATGCCAATCAACCCATCACATGCTATCATAACACTGGAGACACAAGACCCATACACTAATGCAAAGGAAGTAAAGAGGTGAGTGTCACATTCAGCAGTTGTCTTGACAACCCAGATTAATCATGCATTGAATGTTGTGGACACACTAGATTTAGTAATTGGTACTGGTAGACGTAATAACAAATGGTAAACATAATAACATATGAATGCACACCCCTCCTAGTCCTGACAACCCCTACATATAGCCCCACTTCTACCAACACCCCTCCTAGTCCTGACAACCCCTACATATAGCCCCACTTCTACCAATACCCCTCCTAGTCTTGACAACCCCTACATATATCCCCACTTCTACCAACACCCCTCCTAGTGCAGACAACCCCTACATATAGCCCCACTTCTACCAACACCCCTCCTAGTGCTGACAACCCCTACATATAACCCCACTTCTACCAACACCCCTCCTAGTCCTGACAACCCCTACATATAGCCTCACTTCTACCAACACCCCTCCTAGTCCTGACAACCCCTACATATAGCCCCACTTCTACCAACACCCCTCCTAGTCCTGACAACCCCTACATATAGCCCCACTTCTACCAACACCCTCCTAGTCCTGACAACCCCTACATATAGCCCCACTTCTACCAACACCCTCCTAGTCCTGACAACCCCTACATATAGCCCCACTTCTACCAACACCCCTCCTAGTCCTGACAACCCCTACATATAGCCCCACTTCTACCAACACCCCTCCTAGTCCTGACAACCCCTACATATAGCCCCACTTCTACCAACACCCCTCCTAGTCCTGACAACCCCTACATATAGCCCCACTTCTACCAACACCCCTCCTAGTCCTGACAACCCCTACATATAGCCCCACTTCTACCAACACCCTCCTAGTCCTGACAACCCCCTACATATAGCCCCACTTCTGCCAACACCCTCCTAGTCCTGACAACCCTACATATAGCCCCACTTCTACCAACACCCCTCCTAGTCCTGACAACCCCTACATATAGCCCACTTCTACCAACACCCCTCCTAGTCCTGACAACCCCTACATATAGCCCCACTTCTACCAACACCCCTCCTAGTCCTGACAACCCCTACATATAGCCCCACTTCTACCAACACCCTCCTAGTCCTGACAACCCCTACATATAGCCCCACTTCTACCAACACCCCTCCTAGTCCTGACAACCCCTACATATAGCCCCACTTCTACCAACACCCCTCCTAGTCCTGACAACCCCTACATATAGCCCCCCACTTCTACCAACACCCCTCCTAGTCCTGACAACCCCTACATACATGCAGCCCCACACCCTCCTAGTCCTGGGACAACTTCCAACACCCTCCTAGTCCTGGACAACCCTACACCCCTCCTTAGTCCTGACACCCCTCCTAGTCCTGACAATCCTACATGCCAGCCCCACTTCTACCAACACCCCTCCTAGTCCTGACAACCCACAACCCCTACATATAGCCCCACTTCTACCAACACCCCCTAGTCCTGACAACCCCATACACATATAGCTCCACTTCTACCAGCATCCTCTAGTGCTTGACATATATAGCCTTCTACTAACACTCCTAACTCTGGACAACCCTACCAACACCCACCTCCTAGTCCTGACAGCCCCTACATATAGCCCCACTTCTACCAACACCCTCCTAGTCCTGACAACCCCCTACATATAGCCCCACTTCTACCAACACCCTCCTAGTCCTGACAACCCCTACATATAGCCCCACTTCTACCAACACCCCTCCTAGTCCTGACAACCCCTACATATAGCCCCACTTCTACCAACACCCCTCCTAGTCCTGACAACCCCTACATATAGCCCTGCCAACACTTCTACCAACACCCCTCCTAGTCCTGACAACACCCCTCCTGGGTCCTGACAGCCCCACTTCTACTTCAACACCCTCCTGGTCCTGACAACCCCCTTACATATAACCCCACTTCTGCCAACACCCCTCCTAGTCCCTGACAACCCCTACATATAGCCCCTTCTACCAACAGCCCTCCTGGTCCTGACAAGCCCTACATATAGCCCCACTTCTACCAACACCCCTCCTAGTCCTGACAACCCCTACATATAGCCCCACTTCTACCAACACCCCTCCTAGTCCTGACAACCCCTACATATAGCCCCACTTCTACCAACACCCCTCCTAGTCCTGACAACCCCTACATATAGCCCCCAACAGCCTTCCTGGACAACCCCTACATATAGCCCCACTTCTACCAACACCCCTCCTAGTCCTGACAGCCTACATGCAGCCCCACTTCTACCAACAACCCTCCTGGTCCTGACAACCCCTACATATGGCCCCACTTCTACCAACACCCCTCCTAGTCCTGACAATCCCCTACATATAACCCCACTTCTACCAACACCCTCCTAGTGCTGACAACCCCCTCTCTATATATAGCCCCACTTCTACCAACACCCCTCCTAGTCCTGACAACCCCTACATATAGCCCACTTCTACCAACACCCCTCCTAGTCCTGACAACCCCTACATATAGCCCCACTTCTACCAACACCCTCCTCCTAGTCCTGACAACCCCTACATATAGCCCCCACTTCTACCAACACCCCTCCTAACACAGCCCTAGCCCTCATATCCTAGTCCTAGTATAACCCAGCTACCAACCACCCCTCCTACATACATATGGCCCCACTTCTACCAACACCCCTCCTAGTCCTGACAACCCTACATATATCCCCACTTCTACCAACACCCTCCTAGTCCTGACAACCCCTACATATAGCCCCACTTCTACCAACACCCCTCCTAGTCCTGACAACCCCTACATTTAGCCCCACTTCTACCAACACCCCTCCTAGTCCTGACAACCCCTACATATAGCCCCACTTCTACCAACAACCCTCCTATCAACCTATCAGTAGAGAATGGTACAACTCTAGTTTGTTTAAGGCATGGTACTCTTAAAAGTAGCCAGTGAGGAGAATTTCCAAAAGAATATGTTTTTTCAAAGATCTTCAGAAACAACAAAGCCCTCAAGAGTTAAAAACATATCATGAATGTTACTGTTGGACCTGTTGGTTTTTTTAAAAGTATTGTCCGCATTATATTATATATATAATAGCCTCATAAATTGGATTCTGACTATAATGCTTTGTAAAACTATAGCCTATGTTCAGTACCTGAAAACAGACTTGGTTGACGGACATAATTATACCAGGACAGCTATTTATAACATGATCCATATTTTTCCTGTGAGATATCATATGTACTAACAGGGCCCCAGATAAGGGCGGTATCGGTATATGTACGAATAAAAAATATGCACAATATAGTAGGAAATAATTTAGAAAACGTAGCAGATACGCACCACAGCAATTGTGTACGGTCTTAGATTTATTTACAGATGTATTTATGTGAAAAATTATTGTTTTATTGTTTATTGATCTGTTTACACAAGAGTAGCAATGTTGTGGTGCATATATGAAACGAAACACAAGATTACTGGTACTCCATTAAATTCCATTCAGTACTCTATGGTTTTCCAGTACTCCTGTATTGAAAAAATAAGGAGTACGTACTCCTGATGTAGAAAAATTATCTGGAGCCCAGTGCTCAAGAATGTTGTGGTTAGTGCTGTAGTTAATTTCTTTTTGAATGTTGTACAGGTTTAAATGTAACTTCCAAGACTGTTCAAGAACTTACAGTACCCCTGGCAACCTGAAAACACATCTGAAAACCCACCGAGGTTAGTACCTGAAGCTTTTATCAGAGGAAGTTGTACCATGTCAGAAATCGAAAGCATGTTTGTATAAGGTCTAAGCTGATGTTAACGGTTGAGGTCAGTGGTAATTTGATTGTTACTCCAATCTGACCAAACAAAACTGGCACATGCATCAGTTTGAGGCTGTTAGAAGGCTAGCCTTTGCTATTCTCACTCTCAACATTCATTATATATTGTTTTGGTTTAGATCAATACCCTTCCCTAAACTCATAAAGTCAAGAGAAAAGTGTTTGACACTGTCATTTTGACGGGAGATGTAACTGATTACTGGTCACTTTTGACAGCACTTGACAATTAAATTTTGTTCTGGAAACATGTCTTCATGTAATATCGTCTTTGACTCTTTCAACATACCGGTATGCACACCACTTTACATATTATCTATAATGGTGGTGATCCTCAGCAACCTGCGAGTAGTATATGTTTAGAAATGTTTACAACATGAGGTACTGGTATTCACTGGCTGTGGAGGCTTATTGAAATACATTTCTCTGAAAACCAACTATTACTTTTGTCATAGTGTTTAGATTTAGATTTAAGAAAGCAAAGACAGAAGCTAGGAGGCAGCCTAATCAGCTAGGACTTGATCAGTATTTGTCACGTTACTCTTGTCCTTTATACCTGTATCTGTGTCAATTAGAAGTTATAATGAGTGAGATTATGGTCATGGCAAGAGTTTTGTATCGTGTACTGAACTTCAAGTCAGCTTATGTCATGTACAACTGTCATCATCTTTTTGTTGTCATCTTTTCCTCTCAGTCTACGCTGAAACTTATCCCAACTGGGTTGTCTCTATACAACTTGCCATTCAACTTTAAATCTTAACACAAAATAAGTTTATTTGACAAAATTCCATAAAGCAGTTTCCATGATTTGATCCAGTAGTGACAGGACATTCCTAATTTAGAAAGGTTTTCTGCAGGACAAGATGATGATAATCACCACATTATCTTGGGTGTATTGTTTTGCCTGATGCATTAATACAGTTCAAAATAAGACCTGTAACCAGTTTGAAGAATTTTATTCCCCTTTGCAAGAGTCCAGGTATGTAGCAACAGCCTGTAAATAATCAAATTTGAATCAGACAATCCAGTGATTGATATCATAAAAGATATCGTAAAAGTCACTGCTGTCGGGCTATGATGACACTACCTGATCCATTTGGTAACCTCTTACACAGAGGTTGCTTTGGATTCGTCTAACCCAGAATCTCTGAGGGATTCTTATTTAATTTATTAAGCAACAAGGGAAAATGTCATGGCCATTGTGCTTTCGTCAAGTATATCCAACTGAAAGGGCTATCTCAAACAGCCACCCATATGGACTAGCTGTCAACTTGTTTATAGAAAAAGGTATATTTTTCCTTATCCTGACTCATGCTATATTGCTTATCTCCCTTTTCCTTTTAACGGTTACATGGAAACTTGAATCCCTTTGTTTCTAAGAACAGTAAAAATTCACTCACCTATCTGGAGCCCCACTTTCCCACCAAAAGTCTGCCCACGTGACCTGAGCCATGCTTTCATCACTCTCCTCCATCCGGACGGTTGGGCAGTTTCCTGGGTCCCTTTTATGGCTTATATCCTTTATACTTTTGGCCAGAAGTTCAAATTAAGGCCATGTAATAATTGTATATTAGGACCTTCTGTTATCATAATGATGTATTTATTTGCGTAAATTACAGCTAATTTCTGAGGTTTTCTTACTCCATTTTAGGTGACTGTTTCTACATGGTCGCATGTAAACAATGCAGGTTACACACCTCAGCAGTTGATCCACACCCTGTGTGTTCTTCTTCGCTTAACACATCATGTTCTCTTGCCTCATATTGTGAATATTGTGCACATTTATCAGAATTTGCATTTACTAAATATTTGTTATCCCATTTACGCAAGACTATGGACAAACTTAGGCATGACAGCAGGGTCACTGCTAACAAGGGCATTTCCCAATCATCTGATTGTCTGCTGATTTTTTTTGAGTCTCTCTCATGGGTTATTCCAATCTCTGGCGCTCTTGCAGAGACAGCCCAACGCAGCCCTTCTCTAATAAGAGTAAGTCTCCTCTTGGGGAGGGGTCTGATTCCCAGAAGCTGGCGAAGAAGTAAAAGTCATCATCATCTTCGAAGTCGTCTACATCGAAGCCGTCTACATCGAAGCCGTCATCGTCGAAGTCATCATCATCCCGGCCTTCCCATTCTACAAGACCTTTGAAGTCGTCAAAGCCTGCTGCCGAAGTTCACTCATTCGCGAATGAATGACGCCCGCTGACAAAGTAGATGATTCATTTTACTCACAACCACCAGTTTTCGAACCGCAGATCATTGTGAGGTATACCCAGCAGTCGACTACAACCAGCTCTACAGGGTTCGCGAACCCTTCTATGCAGTCATCATGCGGCAGCTACAGCGTCTGCCATGCAGTCGACACTACCCAGCGCCTCTGTTGTTCCAGCAGGGTTCACGAACCCTTGTGTTAGCAGCCAGCATACATCTGCACAGGCTACTTACACCATTCAACAGTTAGAGAATGGGTTCGCAAAAACTTCTATGCAGAGTCATCATGCGTCAGCTACAGCGTCAGCCATGCAGTCTACACTACACGGTGCCTGAAATGTTCCAGCAGGGTTTGTGAACTCCTACGCCAGCACCCAGCCAGCTTCTACACAGTATAACCACGTTGTTGAACGGTTCCCGAACGAGTTCGCGAACCCCTCTACACAGCCAGCCACTCTACATCAGCGCCCTCAGCCTAGCAGCAGTGCTCCAGTGAACCCGCAACGCTACCCCGTCTCCGGCTTCAAGCGACCATCTGCCTCCTACATTGCCTGCCCATCTCAGCGCATTGTCTGCAAATACGCCACATCATCTCCTGGCTGCTACTGCGCTGCCCTTCAAACAGCAGGACTTTGAGGCGATTGTCACCGGACAAGTTGTGATGGTGATGCAGCAGCAGTCTACAGAACTCCAGCGTCCCCTCAACCAATCTACACCAGCGGCATCCCTGGGAGACTCCATCCAGGATGAAGCCCAGGCATCAGATGACAACATACATGAGGATCTGGAGATCGACAAAGAGCGGATGTTCCTGTTGGCGCTCGTCACTCAGAGGAAGGACCAGGAGTTCATCTCGGATTACCTCGCATCTACCTCGGCGGGCATCACCAAGGTCTCCTTGCAGCATCTATGTGGCCAGATCTCTACACGAAGTCTCTTCTACGCAAGCCCTGGGCAGCATCCGACAGATGTCGAGAGAAGTGGCCCAGGACTCTAAGGACAAGATGCTGATGAAGTCTGTGCAGACTATGAACAACATGCACAGGCAGACTACTCAACGTAACCAGTTCCGGTCCAGATTTGCAGGGATACAGAAGGCCAAGGATAAGAGGTATCCGGCATCCTGGGGTGGCAGATCTCAATATTTTCGTCATTCATCCGACAACTCCAGAGCTCGCTCCAGCCGAGGTCGCTCCTCCGTCAACTTCCGGTCATCCCATCAGTCAAGTTCAAGTTCGGATCGACTGGTCCATTCTACCCCCAGTCGTTCCTGTGCAACCGTGAACCGTGGGTGGACGTCTAGGCTACTACTGGGAGGACAGGAGAGTACTAGAAGACAACTATGTCGTTCAAGTGCTGCGAGAAGGGTACAAGATCCAGCTCAAGGCGACGCCTCCTCTCACTGTCAACCCGCAGGTGCACAGATACTCCGGGTTACATTGCATCAAGTTGACCGAGGAAAGAACGCTGTAGAGATCCTAGATTAATGCAGTCTCACCCCAGCTTCTACTCTCCAATTTTCCTGGTACCGAAGAAGAACTCCACAGAGAAGTTCCGCCTCATCTACAACATGAAGCGTTTCAACCTAGACTACTTGCTGAAACCAGACAAGTTCAAGATGTTGCATTTACCACAACTGTGACATCTCATCAGACCCAACGATTACTTAGCCAGCATCGATCTGCAAGACGCCTACCTGCACATCCAGCCTCGAGGGAGTTCGGAATTTCTTTGGAATTTCCTCGGCCCCATGGCTATTTACACATGTAACCAAGCCCATATCGTATTTACATCAGTGGGGATTTAGCAGTGCCTTCTACCTAGACAATGGGATCCAGGTACATCAACTAGCAGTTCAACTCAGACATCTACTGTAATTTACGATCCATCTACTGACACAGCTGGGCTGTCTAGTCAACCACATCAGAACTAGAGCCATCACAGGATCTGCAGTTCCACGGCATCAGGTTCCAGACCACGGAGAATCGCATTACTGTCCCAGAAGATTGGTGGCCAAGCATCCAGGCATGTCTTCCTGCCGCTCTCAACAAGAGCGTGGCAAGGACTACTAGGCCTCCTCACATCAGCACAGGCTCTTACGCGCAGAGAAAGTTTGCAGTTACGACCGCTACAACGCTTCCTCAGACCTCATATCGACAGAAGGTTTCCATCACTCAGCTCCTGAAGTCGTATCTACTCTGGTGGACAGACAAGTCAGCGGCGAAACCTATTTGCAAGAGCTGGTCTATAACCTTCATCTCTTCGTGGACGCATCTCTACAAGGATAGGAAGCATACTGCAAGGAATAGGTCGCATCAGGAACTTGGTTGCTGGAAGAAAGGGCTCTACACATAAACCAGCTGGAATTCAAGGCGGTCATCGAGGCAGTTCAACACTGGGTGCGACTGCTGAGGAACCAGTTCCTTATGATGCACAAAGACAACTCAACAGTAGTCTTCTACATGAATCTACAAGGCTAAACGAGGTCAGCGCCCCTTCTACAACTGACGTTCCAGCTCTTCAACCTAGCATACGACCTCAACCGATGGCCTGCCACATTCCAGGGGCGAAGAACGTCTTAGCTGAAGCCTTATCCAAACTGGTCCACCATCACCCACTGAGTGGATGCTGCGCCCGGAAGTGTTTCAGCTGCTCACCGAAGACCAAGGCCATAGATCTCTTCAATCACCAGATTGCGACGTTTGTTTCATGGTACCAGATCCTCAAGCCTGGTCTCTCGACTCTCAAGCCATACCATGGGATGGACTGAACGCATACTCGTTCACGCTGCCGATCCTGTTACCACAAGTTCTACACAAGATCGCCCAGACCAAAGTCCTATTGCTGATTTTGGTCGCGTTGTATTGGCCAGTAAGTACCTGGTTTCCAGACCTAATACAACTCCTAGGAGAACCAACGTGTACCAGATTGGCTGAATCTATGCATCCACCCTCACACAAGACAACGTCGCAGCAATCCAAGAGGGCTCCAGCTTCAAGCATGGAACATATTACGCACTGCCTGAAAAGAAGAGGGTTCTCCATCAGAGCAGCTAAGGCAGTTACACTGGCGTTAAGAGCATGTGGCAGTCCACCTGGGACTTAGATGTGACTTCATAGCGAAAAATCAGCTACCAGGTCAACCAGATAGACAATTCCACGTCCCGGCATTATCAACGATCCTTGGACCAGAGGACTCAGGTCACATGGGTGGACTTTTGGTGGGAAAGTGGAGCTCCCAATGGGTGAGTGAATTTTGACTGTTCTTGGGAACAAAGGGATTCAAATTTCCACATAACCGTCGAAAAAGGGAAAGGGAGATAAGCAATGTAGCCTGAGTCAGGATAAGCATAAAATATCAGTTTTATCATAAAAATAAAATTTTGTTCCACCAGGTCATATGACTGTGGCTTCGAACATACTTTCTATCCATCACCTTTAGCATAGTCAAATTTCCATGTCTTCACAAAAACGAAAGAAGAACGCTGTAGTGGACTTTTTAGAACACCTGGATTAAGCCTTCACAGCAGCTTTATTGACTGATGTAGTAGGACCTTGGAAGGGATAATGTTGCAAGATACTTAGCAAATAATGCAGTTCATGAAAGACTAAGAACTTCTCAGAAACCCCATGTATATATACATTATGATCTTGCTAGGTACCAGATTCATTCAATAGATTAATTCCATCAAAATATGAAAATACTGTCATAAATATACTTGGTGCAGTCGGATAGTTGTTAGAAGTTCATATCATCCTTCACGAACTATTGAAATGCACCTAAAAGTCAAGTTCCTAAAACATTGCTTATATTGTAGCACCACAAGTCACCTCTTGCCGAATGTCAAGGTCACACAAGAAATAAGGTGCTCTGATTTGCTGAATTTCTCATTCCTTCAAGTTAGACTCATGTTTGTGAATCGGTCTCATTTGAATTTTCCTTTTCTGGCATATTCTGCAACTCATTTCATGGATGTGAAGTCATATGTGCAGTGGGAGAAGTATGTGAGCAAGAAATGTACCCACAATAGTACAGCAAGGACTAATACAGATGCAATTTCAGCAGTCATTTATGTTTCCCGTTGTTGCCAGTTGTAACTAAAGTTGTATTATAATTTTGAAAGTGAAATTACAAAGTATTTCAATCACACAACTTGTGTCATTTACATAGCATAGGTATTCATTTCTTCCCCTGCATTTTTGCAGCATACTGTGTAGTGATGTTTGTTGTCTGTTGACAGGAGAGTATACCTTTGTATGTGACCAACATGGCTGTGGGAAGGCCTTCCTCACTTCATACAGTCTAAAAATACATGTACGAGTACATACAAAAGAAAAACCTTATGAATGCGACATCACTGGCTGTGAGAAGTCTTTCAACACACTTTATAGGTAATTACATTAACTGGAAACGTTGCCTAATCTTATTGACATTTTTATGTATATTTTCATGAAACAGCCATAAATGTTTGCTATATTATCCAGACATGTTATTTTAATGCAAAAGTTATTTTGATTTTTTTAAGGTTGTTACCTGTAAAACTAGTTTTGACTCTTCTGTATTTAACCCAAGAACTAGAAACACATGATCCCTGTCTTCCTGTTGATGGTTTCAAGTAACCACAAGTCATATCAGTCTTCATCAGGCAGACTATAAGGACTGCTGGTTTTATAGTTCTCAATGTTTGTGTTTCAGGTTACGTGCTCACAAACGTCTTCATTCTGGGAATACTTTCAACTGTGATGAGAGTGGATGCACAAAGTACTTTACAACTTTGAGTGACCTTCGTAAACACATTCGTACACACACTGGCGAGAAACCTTATGTGTATGTCAAACTCTTGTTATCATTGGAACTTGTAATTTAGCACATGCTGAAGTTTTTAGTATTTATTTGAGAAAGGCATTTCAGGAGTGAATAAGAGGAGCATTATTGGTCTGTATGAACCTGAAGCTGTGATATAACTTAGAAACTGTTGAAAGCATGAGCAGAAGCTGTGATATAACTTAAATACTGCAGAAAGCATGAGCTGATGCTGTGATATAACTGAAATACTGCTGAAAGCATGAGCTGATGCTGTGATATAACTGAAATACTGATGAAAACATGAGCTGAAGCTGTGATATAGCTTAAATACTGAAGAATGAGGACTATTTTTATGGATATACAACTTCTTTATTCTATATAGACGACGTTTCGACATAGATTCTAATGTCGTTGTCACCACTTGCTTGACAACAACATTAGAATCTATGTCGAAACATCGCCTAAAAAGAATAAAGAAGTTGTATATCCATAAAAATAATCCCCATTCTTCATCTACCCAAATTCTAGAATGCCAATCAAAGAAGTCAAACTTAAATACTGATGAAAGCATGAGCTGAAGCTGTGATATAACTGAAATACTGATGAAAGCATGAGCTGAAGCTGTGATATAACTGAAATACTGATGAAAACATGAGCTGAAGCTGTGATATAACTTAAATACTCCTGAAAACATGAGCTGATGCTGTGATATAACTGAAATACTGATGAAAACATGAGCTGAAGCTGTGATATAACTGAAATACTGATGAAAGCATGAGCTGAAGCTGTCATATAACTTAAATACTGATAAAAACGCATGAGCTGAAGCTGTGATACAACTGAAATACTGATGAAAGCATGAGCTGAAGCTGTGATATAACTGAAATACTGATGAAAGCATGAGCTAAAGCTGTGATATAACTGAAATACTGATGAAAGCATGAGCTGAAGCTGTGATATAACTGAAATACTGTTGAAAGCATGAGCTGAAGCTGTGATATAACTGAAATACTGATGAAAGCATGAGCTGAAGCTGTGATATAACTTAAATACTGATAAAAATGCATGAGCTGAAGCTGTGATATAACTGAAATACTGATGAAAGCATGAGCGGAAGCTGTGATATAACTTAAATACTGATGAAAGCATGAACCTGAAGCTGTGATATAATTTAAATACTGATGAAAGCATGAGCTAAAGCTGTGATATAACTTAAATACTGATGAAAGCATGAGCTGATGCTGTGATATAATTTAAATACTGATGAAAGCATGAGCTGAAGCTGTGATATAACTGAAATACTGTTGAAAGCATGAAGCTGAAATTTAGCAATTTAACTAAAGTGAAACAGCTCTGCTGACTCTTCCTTTTTATATAACTGACATATTGTTGAATGCATTAAGCTGATACTTTTTGATATAGCTGACATTTATACTTTCACTGGAATGCATGAACATGTATATATTTGCCTTCAAGTATAATAATGATAATCTGTAGTCCAAACAAGTGACATATTATCACGTTTTGTCCAAGACCAAGTAACAACATTTCAGTTACGATAGTTTCATGTGTGTTTGTGATTATGTCTACAGATGCAATGAAACAGGATGTCAAAAAGCTTTTGCTGCAAGTCACCATCTAAAAACACATTCTCGAACTCATTCAGGTGAGATCACAGTTCACTCTGCTTTGGTTTCAGTTTCAGTGAACACAAATGTTTAGTAACTTACAACTTAATGTTTTCTACTGATCTGTATTTCAGTAGTGAACTGTTTCTGGGATAGGTATTTGTGAAAGTTAGATGATTGGATCTGACAAATATTATTGGGTAAATATGTTTTCAACTATTCAGGAGGATGGAAGGAATATTATTGAAGACATGTATACTTTAGCTGTTTATGTAGTCATTTGCATTACATGTCTGTTGGACATATTGAGAAGAGATCCCCACATGTACTGACTTGTTTGCCGGAATCTGTCTGACTAGATTTATGATGTGCAGAGTGTAATACATTTATCTTTGATTAATTGTCAAGTGATTTTTTTCCTAGGTTTTTGTTGTTGTCTTTCTGTGAGCATGTATATTCAAACAGTGCCTTATACACGCTGCCATTGCTTGAATCTGTCTTATGTTTGAATGCAGGCGAGAAGCCATACACATGTTCCCAGGAGGGATGTAACAAGTCTTTCACAACCAACTACAGCCTCAAGTCTCACAAGAACAGACACGAAAAGGGTGGAGTACAGTCAGATCCATCAGGGACACAGGTGGGTTCAACTCACGAACAGTGCAGTGGTGTGCACCTCACAATGTGGAGAAGCTCAACTCTAAATTTGCTGTGAATAGTTGAATTCATTAGTGATGCCTGATTCCTATGATTGTCAGTGTACATCCAGGATCCACTAAGGTTAAGACAGCACCATGCAGATGCCTATGATTGTCAGTGTACATCCAGGATCCACTAAGGTTAAGACAGCACCATGCAGATGCCTATGATTGTCAGTGTACATCCAGGATCCACTAAGGTTAAGACAGCACCATGCAGATGCCTATGATTGTCAGTTTACATCCAGGATCCACTACCATGCAGGTTAAGACAGCACCATGCAGGTGCCTATGATTGTCAGTTTACGTCCCAGGATCCACTAAGGTTAAGACAGCACCATGCAGATGCCTATGATTGTCAGTTTACATCCAGGATCCACTAAGGTTAAGACAGCACCATGCAGATGCCTATGATTGTCAGTTTACATCCAGGATCCACTAAGCACTATGTTAAGATCAGCACCATGCAGATGCCTATGATTGTCAGTTTACATCCAGGATCCACTAAGGTTAAGACAGCACCATGCAGATGCCTATGATTGTCAGTTTACATCCAGGATCCACTAAGGTTAAGACAGCACCATGCAGATGCCTATGATTGTCAGTTTACATCCAGGATCCACTAAGGTTAAGACAGCACCATGCAGGTGCCTATGATTGTCAGTTTACATCCAGGATCCACTAAGGTTAAGACAGCACCATGCAGGTGCCTATGATTGTCAGTTTACATCCAGGATCCACTAAGGTTAAGACAGCACCATGCAGGTGCCTATGATTGTCAGTTTACGTCCAGGATCCACTACTAGGTTAAGACAGCACCATGCAGATGCCTATGATTGTCAGTTTACATCCAGGATCCACTATATTAAGACAGCACCATGCAGGTGCCTATGATTGTCAGTTTACATCCAGGATCCACTAAGGTTAAGACAGCACCATGCAGGTGCCTATGATTGTCAGTTTACATCCAGGATCCACTAAAGGTTAAGACAGCACCATGCAGGTGCCTATGATTGTCAGTTTACATCCAGGATCCACTGCGAGGTTATGACAGCACCATGCAGGTGCCCTATGATTCAGTCAGTTTACGGTACATCCAGGATCCACTAATATTGTTAAGACAGCACCATGCAGGTGCCTATGATTGTCAGTTTACATCCAGGATCCACTAAGGTTAAGACAGCACCATGCAGGTGCCTATGATTGTCAGTTTACATCCAGGATCCACTAAGGTTAAGACAGCACCATGCAGGTGCCTATGATTGTCAGTTTTACATCCAGGATCCACTAAGGTTAAGACAGCACCATGCAGGTGCCTATGATTGTCAGTTTACATCCAGGATCCACTAAGGTTAAGACAGCACCATGCAGGTGCCTATGATTGTCAGTTTACATCCAGGATCCACTAAAGGTTAAGACAGCACCATGCAGGTGCCTATGATTGTCAGTTTACGCCCAGGATCCACTAAGGTTAAGACAGCACCATGCAGGTGCCTATGATTGTCAGTTTACGTCCAGGATCCACTAAGGATCCACTAAGGTTAAGACAGCACCATGCAGGTGCCTATGATTGTCAGTTTACATCCAGGATCCACTAAGGTTAAGACAGCACCATGCAGGTGCCTATGATTGTCAGTTTACATCCAGGATCCACTAAGGTTAAGACAGCACCATGCAGGTGCCTATGATTGTCAGTTTACGTCCAGGATCCACTAAGGTTAAGACAGCACCATGCAGGTGCCTATGATTGTCAGTTTACATCCAGGATCCACTAAGGTTAAGACAGCACCATGCAGGTGCCTATGATTGTCAGTGGACATCCAGGATCCACTTAGGTTAAGACAGCACCATGCAGGTGCCTATGGTTGCCAGTTTACATCCACGCCGAAGACCCGGGTTCGATTCCCCACATGGGCACAATGTGTTAAGCCCATTTCTGGTGTCCACCGCCGTGATATTGCTGGAATATTGCTAAGACAGCGGGTGCAAACTAAAACTCAGTCAGTCAGTTTACATCCAGGATCCACTAAGGTTAAGACAGCACCATGCAGGTGCCTATGATTGTCAGTTTACGTCCAGGATCCACACAGGTTAAGACAGCACCATGCAGGTGCCTGTGATTGTCAGTTTACGTCCAGGATCCACTAAGGTTAAGACAGCACCATGCAGGTGCCTATGATTGTCAGTTTACGTCCAGGATCCACTAAGTTTAAGACAGCACCATGCAGGTGCCTATGATTGTCAGTTTACATCCAGGATCCACTAAGGCTATGACAGCACCATACAGGTGCCTGTGATTGTCAGTTTACATCCAGGATCCACTAAGGTTAAGACAGCACCATGCAGGTGCCTATGATTGTCAGTTTACGTCCAGGATCCACTAAGGTTAAGACAGCACCATGCAGGTGCCTATGATTGTCAGTTTACATCCAGGATCCACTAAGGTTAAGACAGCACCATGCAGGTGCCTATGATTGTCAGTTTACATCCAGGATCCACTAAGGTTAAGACAGCACCATGCAGGTGCCTATGATTGTCAGTTTACATCCAGGATCCACTAAGGTTAAGACAGCACCATGCAGGTGCCTATGGTTGCCAGTTTATATCCAGGATCCACTAAGGTTAAGACAGCACCATGCAGGTGCCTATGATTGTCAGTTTACGTCCAGGATCCACTAAGGTTAAGACAGCACCATGCAGGTGCCTATGATTGTCAGTTTACGTCCAGGATCCACTAAGGTTAAGACAGCACCATGCAGGTGCCTATGATTGTCAGTTTACATCCAGGATCCACTAAGGTTAAGACAGCACCATGCAGATGCCTATGATTGTCAGTTTACGTCCAGGATACACTAAGGTTATTACAGCACCATGCAGGTGCCTATGATTGTCAGTTTACATCCAGGATCCACTAAGGTTAAGACAGCACCATGCAGGTGCCTATGGTTGTCAGTTTACGTCCAGGATCCACACAGGTTATGACAGCACCATGCAGGTGCCTATGATTGTCAGTTTACATCCACGCCGAAGACCCGGGTTCGATTCCCCACATGGGCACAATGTGTTAAGCCCATTTCTGGTGTCCCCCACCGTGATATTGCTGGAATATTGCTAAAAGCGGCGTAAAACTAAAACTCAGTCAGTCAGTTTACATCCAGTATCCACTAAGGTTAAGACAGCACCATGCAGATGCCTATGATTGTCAGTTTACATCCAGGATCCACTAAGGTTAAGACAGCACCATGCAGGTGCCTGTGATTGTCAGTTTACATCCAGGATCCACTAAGGTTAAGACAGCACCATGCAGATGCCTATGATTGTCAGTTTACATCCAGGATCCACTAAGGTTAAGACAGCACCATGCAGGTGCCTGTGATTGTCAGTTTACATCCAGGATCCACTAAGGTTAAGACAGCACCATGCAGGTGCCTATGATTGTCAGTTTACGCCCAGGATCCACTATCCAGGATCCACGTCCAGGATCCACTAAGGTTAAGACAGCACCATGCAGGTGCCTATGATTGTCAGTTTACGTCCAGGATCCACTACAGGTTAAGACAGCACCATGCAGGTGCCTATGATTGTCAGTTTACGTCCAGGATCCACTAAGGTTAAGACAGCACCATGCAGGTGCCTATGATTGTCAGTTTACGTCCAGGATCCACTAAGGTTAAGACAGCACCATGCAGGTGCCTATGATTGTCAGTTTACATCCAGGATCCACTAAAGGTTAAGACAGCACCATGCAGGTGCCTATGATTGTCAGTTTACATCCAGGATCCACTAAGGTTAAGACAGCACCATGCAGGTGCCTATGATTGTCAGTTTACATCCAGGATCCACTAAGGTTAAGACAGCACCATGCAGGTGCCTATGATTGTCAGTTTACATCCAGGATCCACTAAGGTTAAGACAGCACCATGCAGGTGTGCCTATGATTGTCAGTTTACATCCAGGATCCACTAAGGTTAAGACAGCACCATGCAGGTGCCTATGATTGTCAGTTTACATCCAGGATCCACTAAAGGTTAAGACAGCACCATGCAGGTGCCTATGATTGTCAGTTTACATCCAGGATCCACTAAGGTTAAGACAGCACCATGCAGGTGCCTATGATTGTCAGTTTACATCCAGGATCCACTAAGGTTAAGACAGCACCATGCAGGTGCCTATGATTGTCAGTTTACATCCAGGATCCACTAAGGTTAAGACAGCACCATGCAGGTGCCTATGATTGTCAGTTTACATCCAGGATCCACTAAGGTTAAGACAGCACCATGCAGGTGCCTATGATTGTCAGTTTACATCCAGGATCCACTAAGGTTAAGACAGCACCATGCAGGTGCCTATGATTGTCAGTTTACATCCAGGATCCACTAAGGTTAAGACAGCACCATGCAGGTGCCTATGATTGTCAGTTTACGTCCAGGATCCACACAGGTTAAGACAGCACCATGCAGGTGCCTATGATTGTCAGTTTACGTCCAGGATCCACTATGGTTAAGACAGCACCATGCAGGTGCCTATGATTGTCAGTTTACGTCCAGGATCCACTAAGGTTAAGACAGCACCATGCAGGTGCCTATGATTGTCAGTTTACATCCAGGATCCACTAAGGTTAAGACAGCACCATGCAGGTGCCTATGATTGTCAGTTTACATCCAGGATCCACTAAGGTTAAGACAGCACCATGCAGGTGCCTATGATTGTCAGTTTACATCCAGGATCCACCGGGTTTAAGGGCAGCAATGTGTTAAGGTGCCTATCTGGTGTCCCCACCGTGATATTACAGGATCCACTAAGGCTAAGACAGCACCATGCAGGTGCCTATGATTGTCAGTTTACATCCAGGATCCACTAAGGTTAAGACAGCACCATGCAGGTGCCTATGATTGTCAGTTTACATCCAGGATCCACTAAGGTTAAGACAGCACCATGCAGG